CATTGACTTCCCAATCGTTTTTGAACCATTTCGGTCTCGCCTCTTTCGCTCCCCGACGCTCCAAGACGGCCCAAGAGCCCCAGATCGCCCCAAGGCGGCCCAAGAGGGCTCCAGGGGGGATCCAGGGCTCAAGAGGGCCCAAAGACAATCCAAGACGCCTCCAAGACGGTCCAGGAGAACACGACGGCTCCAAGAGGGTGCCCAGACACGGGACCAAAACGGACAAGTCGAGCCCACGGCCCCAAGAGGCTCCCAGGAACCGAGATGCCCGCAAGAGGCCCCCAAGAGGCCTCCAAGAGGCCCCCAGGAAGCCCCGAGAGGCCCCCACGAGACTCCCATGAGGCCCCAAGAAGCTCACAAGAGGCCCCTAAACTGTCCCCCAGAGGCGCCCGAGAGCGCTTCGAAGAGACATCAAGAAGCATCCATGAGGACTCTGGCCCACGTCAGCGTCGTCGTCGTCGCCGCCTCCACCAGAGGTCTCGGGCTGTGCCCAGAAATCCCCAGCGAACCCCAGAGGCCCACCAAGTGTAAAGAGCATGCAGACGCGTCCAAACCTTCCGAAATCCTTAGAAGGACGACGAGTAGAGACCTCCTACGTGGGGTCCGAAGTGGATGGGGTCGGAAGATGGCGCCGCATCGCCAATGCATCGGCGCCGTTGGCGTGAAGAAAATCGGGTTCCACCTCGAGCCGCATCGCCGATGCGGCACGATCCTCCAACTCCATTTGCGGCGGCGAGACCGGAGGGGAAACGAGAAGGGGCGGGCCTTCTCAGAAGGCTCGGAAATTCCCCCCCGGCCTTCTGAGAAGATGTCTAAGCCTCCTGAAGACACGGAGAACCTGTCGGAGGGCCAGGGCGCTTATGAGAGGCCCCGCTGCCTTCTGAGAAGTCTCTTTCCTTTTCAATTCTTGCCCTCGCTCGCCGCCGACGTCTGCTCGGACCCAATCCTGCGTTGTCGCCACCAAACTGGGGCCAATCTGGCGGGTCCGATCTGGCATTGGAAGGATGGTCAGCATAGGACTGGGCTGCGTCTGGGCTGGTGCTGGAGTGGAACTCTTGAGCAGGGGCCGACCGTCCCGGCAATCCGATACGAAATGTTCTAAGAACCCAAGAATGTTCTAAGAACAGAAACACTGTTCTTAGAACATAAACTCGACGTGTTAAAACAAGACAGTCTCAGCCAGAAATGCTCAAAGATCATCTCGCGCAGACCACAAAAGGTTCTTAGAATATTCTCTGGTGGGCCTATGGGCGGGCCAAGACCCTTCGCCACTGCTTGAACCTCACAGGACACTGATGCCGGCTTGGTCCCTGAAGCCCAATCCGATCTGCCGGTCTGGCCTTAAGTCGGGCTTGTCCCCCTACAGGGGGATTTTGGATGAAAAATGACATTTACACGAAAAATACTACGAAATGGTACAAAATATTAGAAAAGAATCGTTCCACTATTATTCTTACTACTTTTGAATACTCCTCCTGTAGAGGGACCAGCCCGATGCAAGTCTGGCCTCCGACTGCTCAGCCCTCCGGGAGGCCCACGAGCACCCGTGACGGCGGCGGGCCAGCGGCCGAGGCCGCCGCGCGAGAGGCAGCGCTCCGTGATGGCCACGGCGGGCCGCAGCTCCCGGGCCGCGCGCCCGCCCCGCTCGCGCTCGGCGGCCTCGCTCGGCCGCCGCCGTCGTCGCCGCCGCCGCCGCCGTCGGCATCGGCGTCGTTGTCGCCGCCGCCGTCGGCATCGGCGTCGTCGTCGTCGTCGTCGTCGTCGCCGCAACCGCCGCCGCCGTCGTCGTCGTCGTCGTCGTCCTCGTCCTCGTCGTCGTCGTCGTCGTCGTCGTCGTCGTCGTCGTCCTCGTCGTCGTCGTCCTCGTCGTCGTCGTCGTCGTCGTCGACACGACGGCGACGACGTCGACGACGACTGCGGCGGCAGAGGCCTGGGGCGTGCCAGGCGCTCCACACACGCGCGCACCTCCTGCCTCCGGCGCCCCGCTGACTCCAAACGACGGGTGCAGGGTGACGCGTGGCACTCACCGCGAGCTCGATATGCGTATACACGCGCTTCTGCGCGGCCCCTCCAAACAAGCTTCCACGGGGCCTGCGCCCTCTGCCGCCGCCCCCACACAGAATGCACACAGCGCTTCCGGGCACGCCAGCAAGACGGTCGGCCCAAGAGGGCCCCAAGACGATCCAATCAGGGATCAAGGATCGAGAGAACGAGGGTCGAGGGAGGAGGGTGGGAGGGAGGGGAGGAAGCTTATGTGTGTTCGCTCTTTTTTGGGCCACCTGGGGCTCCCTCGTCGCTACGGCTGGATTGGCCTCGAAATCCATTTCAGAATGCCTTCACTTACATGCCTGGGGGTCGATTCTGAGGCGTGGGATCCAGACCTCTGGGGTCATAAACAAAATGCGTCGGCGGCGGATCGCAGTCCTCTGCGCCAGCATGACCGCAGCACCACTTTTTCAAGACAGACAAATCTGAGACGCTACGTTGTTCGGCCTCCCCGAGCCTGGGTCAACCGATGCGCGGGGACCCCCCCGCGGCTTCGCGCGGCTCCCAAGCCCAGGAGAGCGACAAAACGAGTTGCAGCTGTCAATGTCGGCAGTGGCCGCAAAGCCTTCCTTCGCCGCGCGCGCCCCTGGCAAGAGCATCCCCGCGGGGGCAGCGAGGGGATGGGCGCGCTGAGAGCCACAGCGCTCAGGACGCTGATGCGCGCGCAAGTCCGCGAGGCATCTGGTAGGACGGGCAGGCAGCGATGAGGCACCGGATCGCTCTGGCCAGAATCTAAGAAACGATCGCTCGATATCCGCGCCGAAGCCCGCGCACGGAGTTGCTCGCGCTGGACGCGCTGAGAGGCCGATCGCGCCACCACAGCGAAACCTGCAGGCGCGTGTTGAACCAGGATGCGCACGATGGCAACGGAGCAAAAAAGGACGAGTATTGCCCCCACACCGCGGCCGCCAGGTCCAACCGCAGCCATCGCTGCGCGGCTGCTGGGGCACGGCGAAGGATGGGCAGGAGGGGTCAGACCACGGGGTCAAGGAGGAGTAGGGGGGAAACTCCTGCTCATGTGCCTCCTCATCCACCCACATTCTCCTCACCAGTCAGAATTCGTCTCGCTGTGCGACTTACCCGATAAGGACCTGATGCAAAAATGTCCTTGCCCTCCATGAGCTCCTTAACGTCCTCCTCTTCCTCAACACCTCCCTCCTCCTCCTCCTCCTCGTCTTCGTCGATATCGGCTACTCCTGCGAGCACTTCGAACAGCCAAAGGAGGCCAGGCCGATACCCTTCTTCAGCAAGAATCAATCAATCAATATCACGTCGATCCCACGGGAGGATACGGACTTCCGAATGATACAACTGTGGGACCGCGTGAAACTCGACAACAGCTCGTTAGCACACGTGTATCCTTTGCAACATGAAGAGAAGGTTGCACGCTGGGTGGCCTTGTCAGGCATGTCGTCGCTCAATGCCACCACCTCATTCCAATACCACGTCATGCCACGTGCGAATACGCAACCAATACGCATTCAGTATATACGTACGCTCAAGAACCGCATGTTCGCTCTATCCAACGAGAATGGTGGCACTCCTCCACGCTCATTCAGTCAAAGGTTGGTGCGCTTGAAATACGAAGCGAAGACAAGGATATATGTATGTGAGTGTATATGTATGCGCCCTCTGCTGCAACGACGAGTGCATCGACAACAAGGAAAGAAGAAAACTAAGACATTGAATACAACCAGTTCCACCGGCAAGCCCATCTGCCAGCCCGCGAAGCACAATGCGTACCACATGTTGCCTGCCCATCTCGTGACATGGCGGCATGGCACCGCCGCGATTATCGCAAAGTGCTGCCCTTGCCCTGGAACACGTACCCCAATCCGCCCCGTTCCAGGCATACACACATACATACACACACGGGCATGCGCCCGCCTCAACCCCGCTCGTACACATGATGTGCGTCCGCTCAAAACAGTCACCACACCACATGCCCGAGCACGCACACACAGAGACAACACACAAACATGTTACATGCAACACGCAACACGAACATGCACACACACACACTCACACACACGCGCAAACAACCCGCACGATAAATAGGGCACATTACCAAACATCCAAACCATCTCAATCATTATGTCTTGAAAATTAATAGCCTGGAAAACACTCCCCTCCCCCGCCCCCCCCCGCACACGCGGATACGCACTCAAGCGTATGATCACATACACTGTCAATGATGCTTTGTTCTGTCGCGGACACCTTCTCGGACCTCGAACGGCGGTCGACGCAGACCCCATGTGGGCCGCGGGGAATGCCAACACACCTTAAGTCGGGCGTGCCCCCCTACAGGGAGATTTTTGACGAAGAATAAGACATAGTGAAAAAACAAAAAAAAACAAAAGTACCAAAAACATTGTTCTAGACTTTTTTCTAAACTGTTTTTGAATATTCCCGCTGTAGAGGACAAGTCCGACTTAAATAAAACCACTCAAATAACGAACGTATTCGACAGAAATCGGAAGACACCGCGCAAATACACAAGAATTCCCCGGTGGCAGAAAATATAGACCGTGCAAATCCAGCACCGTCCAGTGTCCGCATGTCCCGCCGATAGAGCCGTCTGCATCGAACATTTGAATGTTCTACGTGCTCTTGAGTGATCCGAGAGAGCGAATTGCCGTAAACTCCGAATTCGCCACCGTGCGTTCCACCCGCAATGAAGTGTCCTGAGGCTCATGCAGATGTAAGCGGTGAGTGGAGCATTGTAGGACTCTTCAATCGAGGGCGTCCAAGAGGGGGGCGTCCAAGAGGGGAGGGCGCAAATCATGGCCGGCAGCATGTGCGCGGCCCAAGGGGGGGGGGGGGGGCGGGGACGTATTGAAATGAGAAGAGGCGCCATGAAACCTGGGGAGACATCATGGCCCACGCCATGGAATCCACCCCCCCATTGCAGGAGGCTTCAAGGCCCCGACCACCGGGTTGCCGGCAGCATCTGGCGTCCCAAGAGCTCCTCTGGGGCGTGTCGCGGGAGTCCTCTAACAACGAAGGCCGCTCAAAAACGGCGCCAAGATCCCCCAAGAGTCTCCCAAGAAACGCCCCAAAAGACAAATGGGGCCCTCGGCAGGCTTCAAGAGGTCCCAAGGGACCCCAGGGGACCCCCAGGAGCCTCCAGGCGAGGCTTCAAGACGCTCCAGTAGGAGTCCCGGACAGGCAATCAGCAAACCCATGTGTTTTTCTGTCTAGCTTGTTCGCCTGCTCGGCTTCTCGGCTCAACCTGGGTCAAGATAACCCCAGAGAGCTCCAAGACTGCTCCACGGGATCCAAGAGAACCCCAAGTCTGCCCATGGCCCAAACTTGCCTTCAGACAGCTCCAGAGGGCCTCAAATGAACCAAGAGGGCCCCAGGAGGTAATTAAGCAAGGGGCCCCGAAGGCCCGAAACCAAAACCAATGCAGCCCCAAGACAACCCCTTCCGAATGCTCCCCCAGTGGCTTCCCCAACAGCTGAGGCAACCCGGGAACACAGTCCAGAAGGGTGGCCACACTTTCGCTCGACATTTGAGAACACAGGCACTTCCAACAGGCGGCTTCGAACAGCATAAAAGGAACTGTTCTTCAAGCGTAGATCACAAGTGATGTGCGAAGGCTGGATGATCGCAAAGAGGCCCCGCCATCGACACCGCAAAGGCGATTTTACCAAATCCGCCAACACCGCACCACAAATCAAGACAACGCACAACGAGCGGGGCGCCTGTACTAGCTGCTGAAATTGCGCGAAAACGTAGAATCGCACTGAGAGCCAGCAAAATCACGTAGAACCATGGCGCAACCCTCGTCAACTGCATGCACACTCCTGGCTCCGCAGAGAGAAGGACCCCAACCAGAACCATCCTGGCCGTAAGCTTTCGGAGGTGCGCGCGGAGATCTCGGGTCGGCGCTGGCCTCGTGCGCGATCCGCGCGCCAGGAAGCGGCGTGGGGATGGGGTCCAGCGCCGACCCAAGACATCAGCTCCGACCTTCGAAGGATCATGCTTGCGACTTTCTGCGGTTTTGTGAGCAGACACCCATCCATCCCGAATCCCAGATCTGCGCCTTCGAAAGATTATGCCTGTGGCGTTCTCTAGTTCTTGTGAGTAGGCACCAATCCATCCCGAATCCAGGATCTGCGGAAGCAAACCGATGCAGATGCCGACGCTCCCTGGACCGCTCCCGGGGCGCGGGATGGCCAGCACCCCGGGACGAATCCAGCCGCGCCGATGCGGGCCACCCTGGACACCCAGACAAGCGAGAACGAGGGAAGCGCTTCTGTATCAATATCTACTAGAAGGTTGCCCCCATCGCACTTAAGGACCACATCCCAGAAATAATTTCGAGCACCCAGAAACGTGTCGAGCGAGTGTCGAAACAGTGTCGGACGAGTGTCTCCCAGGGCCCGACACGTGAAAACCCTTGAGTTTCTGTGCACTGTTCGGTGCTCCAAATTATTTCTGGTGATCAAGGCTAAAGTAGGCTGGAACATCATAAATCTACTCCTCAGGCCGTTCTTGCCGACGGGAGGATGGCACGGGTCGCCGTGCGGGGTTCCAAGGCTTTTCCACCTTGGCAGGAATCCGCCCGCAGCCAAGTTTACTCCGCAACAAGATCTAGCTCAGGACTTCGTCGCTCCCTCTTGGCGTGAGAGGCTGCGTAGCGCTGATTCACAGGATCGTCAAAAACACGGCGTTGTTTCCCCACGCCGTGCACGACGAGCCCACGGTTCCAAAGCCGGCGTGCCTCGCACGCCAGCCCGCCGTGACGACGCCGCCTGCCGGGGCCACAGCAGCTGTGACTGCGACCGCTTGCTGATGAGCCCGCCTGGCCGGCATCGGTCGGCGCGGGTGTGTTTCGGGCGCGGCCCAGCCGACTCCCAGCAAACCATCCCCTTCCGTGACGTCACCCTCGCCTTTCAAGCTCCCCTCGGGTTAGCGTTCTTTGTTTGGCGTTTCGACACTGGGCGGCAAGGGGGGAGGCGTGGGGGGTCTGGCTCCAGACCTCTGCTTAGCGCGACTGCTTGCACCAGTGCGGCCTCTGGGGGAGGGCCTCCACCTGCTCGAAACTGGCGCCAAAAACAGCCAAGATCTACTCCAGAGTGGACGATTTCCCCCGGGGCCGTAGGCGACCCGAGGAGGGGGAGGAGGAGGAGGAGGGGGAGGCGGATGAGGAGATGGAGGAGGAGGAGGAGGACGAGGAGGAGGTGGACGGATCGCCTAAGCCCTTCGGAGAAACCCTCCAGGGGGAGGAGGAAGAAGGCGAGGGCCCGCGCGGATCTGCAAAACGACGAATCAGAAAACCATCACCTGGCCGCATACTGCTCTCTACCTGCTCAGAGGGGCGCAGCGGCGAAGGTCCGGGAAGACGACAGAAGCCAAAGACGGCGCGCCAGGTGGGCGCGGGGAGCAGGTGGGGGGGATGAGTATCGTTTAACCGATCCCTATGCCCACTGGCGTGGCCTGGGCCCCGGCTCCACTGGCCGACTCACCCTCGAGATTGGGACGTGGGCGGCTCCCTTCGGGCTTCGAGGGGCACATCCCCAACTGGGGTGGTGGGATGGTGGGGATCGGGATGGGGACGGGAACGGGGATAGGGATCGGTAAAACGGTAATGAGGGGAGAAAGGGGGGAGGGGAACGCGCCCCCGCGCGCGCGCCCAGCCGCCCGCCAGCGCCCGCGCCACGCTGGCAGGCAAGGCTGCGGCAGCCCGGCGGCTGCCCTGGCGGCCTGCCAGACTTGCGCGCGACGCGCTACACGCAGCAGCCCCGGCAGTGCTGTCGCCCGACATGGCGCCTGGGAGCTCCGCCGCTTGCCGGGACCTCCGGCAGGGCGCGCGGTGGCCACCGGCCGCACACATACGCCTTGGGGCGAGGCGACGGGGACGTCACAGAAGGGCATGGCTTGCTAGGGGTCGGTCAGGCCACCGACGAGTATTGACTGGCGCCCCCCGGGCCCGACACTGGGAGCCGAGCGTCGGCGCACCCACCGCCGCTGCTGGCGGCGGCACCGTTCCAGACACCCAACGGCTCGACTTTTCTGAGTCGGTGGTCCTCGGAGCTCTCGGGGCAGACTTCCCGCGCCGCTCGTCGCTAGCCCACGGGCCGGAGAGAGAGAGAGAGAGACTTCGGGAAGCCGAGGTAGAATAAGAAAAAACTGAGAAACCATAAACTTGTGGCGCTCCGCGCGGATTTCTTGGATCCGCGCTGGACCCTCCCTGTCGCGCGGACCGCGCCAGGGGCGGCACCAGAGGCGCCGCTCGGGGGGCCCGGCGCAGATCCAAGAAATCCGCGCGGAGTACCAAAAGTTTATGTTTATGCTGTTGTCCTTCTACGACGAGAAGAACAGCTAACAACTGGTAGCGCAATTTTGCCTAGGCGGCGGAACAGCGGCCAATATTAATGCCCATAGCCACTGCGTCTTCGACTCTTGGAGAAAGGGCGCCGAAGGCCGAGGCGCAGTTGATGTGGACAAGCATCTGGCCTCTCTAGAGACCAGATCTCGATCCACACCCACAACGCCTCTGGCTGCCAAGGAAGGGAGCCCGAAACTCCAAGACTCAATGGATACAGTCGGTCCGTATCATAAGAATGCGCGATAAGGATGCAAAGGCGTTGGACGCCTGTTTCGAAGCCTTTCGAGCTCGAGCCGGGTACGGCCAACGAAAGTGGCCAAGGATGGATCGAGGAGGCAAGGATGCAAGGGTACCCTTGGGAAAACTGCCCATCCGTACTATGCGGGTTGACTGTATGGACACCAATCCTGCCCCCAAAACTGGTTGCGCGATGTTTTCCTGGGCGGCGGAGGGTGCACCCCTACCCCCCGCCCCCCCCGAGGCGCCGCGCGGGAGGGCCAGCGCCAGCGGCCGCGGCGCCGCCGGGAACGTGGCCCAGTCCGGGGCGGGTTCCGCGGAGACGCCGAGGGCTGCGGCGGGTCCGAAGGCAACAACGACGACGACGTCGTCGTCGTCGCCGTCGTCGTCATCGTCGTCGTCGAGGGCGGCGGCGGACGCAGCCTGATCGCAGACCACCAGCATCCTGAACGGCGAACAAAATCTAGGACGGACGCTGCGTGCCATTTCAAGCCCCTGGGGGCCACTTCTGGGCCCTGGGGCCGTCAAACAACGATCGGGGACGGGTAAAGGTCGAGAGTTCAGGAACCCGCGCATTCAAATAATCAAAAAATCGGAAATGTTGGATCCCACGCAAGTGGCGGCTATCTGCTCGAGACATGCCTGTCCCCTTGCTTTGGGCCGGTTTTTCACATGCACTGTTTTCCCCAACCATCCTGTGGTGTTGGGCACTCGTTTTGAAGAGACAGCGCCCGCGTCCTTTTTCTTTCTCCTCCCGTTGCCTCCCCTCCCTCCTCCCCCTCTTCGCCCTTGCTCTCCGCATGTCTCTGTTTCGGTACACCCCTCACACGTTTCGTGGTGCCCTAGCGGACTCCAGCTCAAGTCCCAGTGGCGGAACTCGCGTGCGGTCCCCGTACCAATTTTGGCACACATACACACACACACACACACACCTCACACGTTTCGTGGCTCCATGAGAGCTCCACATAAGGTCCCAGTGGCGGAACTCGCATGCGGTCCCCGCACCCATTTTGGCACACCCCTCACACGCTTCGTGGCCCCATAGGAAACTCCAACTACGGTCCCAGTGGCGGAAGTCGCACGCGGTCCCCACACCCATCTTGGCACACCCCTCACACGCTTCGTGGCCCCATAGGGAGGTCCGCCTAAAGCCCCAGCGGCGGAACTCGCATGTGGTCCCCGCTCCCAGTTCGGCACGCCCCTCACACGTTTCGTGGCCCTATAATGAGCTCCGCCGCAGGTCCCAGTGGCAGAACTCGCATGCGGTCCCGGCGCCCATTTTGGCAGACCCCTCGCACGCTTCGTGGCCTCATAGGGAGCTCCACCTAAGGCCTCAGTGGCGAAACTCGCATGCGGTCCCCGCACCCATCTTGGCAACCCCTCACGCGTTTGGTGGCTCCATGAAAGGCTCCACCTAAGGTCCCACTGGCGGAACTCGCAAGGCGGCCTCGGGCCATTTCGGCACACCCCTCACACGTTTCCGTGGCTCCATAAGGAGTTCCACGTAAGGCCCCAATTGCTCAACTCGCAAGGCGGCCTCGGGCCATTTCGGCACACCCCTGACGAGCATCGTGGCCTCATGGGGAGCTCCACCGAAGGCCCCAGTGGCAGGGTTCGCATGGCGCCACCGTGCCCATTTCGGCGCACCCCTCACATGCTTCGTGGCCCCACTGGGAGCTCCACCTAAGGTCCCCATGGCGGAACTCGCATGGCGGCCTCGGGCCACTTCGGCACACCCCTCACGAGGATCGTGGCCCCATGGAGAACCGAAGGCCCCACTGGCAGGGTTCGCGTGACATTCTCTGGCGATTTCGGCACGCCCCTCACGAGGATCGCGGACGAGCTCCACCAAAGGCGCCAATGGCAGGGTTCGCACGGCGGCCTCGGGCCATTTCGGCCCACCCCTCACGAGGATCGTGGCCCCATAGGGAGAGACCCACCGAAGGCGCCATCGGCAAGGTTCGCGCGGCGGCCTCGGGCCATTACGGCACGCCCCTGACGAAGATCGTGGCCCCACGGGAGTTCCACCGAAGGCGCCAGTGGCAGGGTTCGCGCGGCGGCCTCGGGCCATCACGGCGCACCCCTGACGGGGAACGTGGCCCCATAGTGAGCTCCACCGAAGGCCCCAGCGACAGGGTTCGCGTAGCGGCCTCGGGGCACGTGGGCGCACCCCTCGCGAGGATCGTGGCCCCATAGGGAGCCCCGCCGAAGGCGGCAGTGGCAAGGTTCGCACGGCGGCCTCGGGCCGTCGCGGCGCACCCCTGACGAAGATCGTGGCCACGTAGGGGTTCCACCGGAAGCGCCAGTCGCAGGGTTCCCATGGCGGCCTCGGGCCAAGACGGCACACCCCTCGCGAGGATCGTGGCCCAGCGGCAGGGTTCGCATAGCGACCTCGGGCCATTTCGGTACACCCCTCACGAGGACCGTGGCCCCTAGGAGCTCCACCGAAAGCGCCAGTGGCAGCTTCCCTCATGGCTCTCAGAACCCTGTCCTGCTTCTGCTCTTCGGTCAGGGGGGCGCCGTCCTCGTCGTCGTCGGCGCCCGCGAAGACGGCCGCGAACGTGTCCCTGAGCATGTCGGGCTCTGGCGGGAAGCCGTGGCCACATAGGGAGCGTGGGCGAAGATGGCATTCACAATCGCGGTATTCACAACTGCGTATGTTTGGGATTTTTCGCCCGGCTAATTAATGGTCCCTGGCCCACGCGAGGCTGCACAGCGGCCAGGGACGCAGGAGGGAACACGAGAGGTTCCCCATCTCGATCCCCTCTCTCCCTCGGCGAAACTATAATTACGTCTGCGGCTGCTTGTTGTTTACGTTTGCTTAAGGGGAGGAGCGAGGGGGGAGGAGCGAGAGGAGGGGTGACGGAGGGGGCGAGGAGGGAGACAGGGAAGAGGAGGGGGAGGGGGGTAAGCGGTGGAGAACGTGTAGGAAGAGATGCAAGAAGGGGAGAGAAGAGGCGAAGGAGGACCAGGGGCGGCGGCTGGGCGGGAGAGGGACGGGGCGGGAGGACTCCAACAGAGTCCGGAGACATCCGGTCTCGAGGAGAGGAGCGAGCGAACGAATTCTTGCACTTTGTATTGGCCATCGTGGACCCCAAGCAATGCTTTCTTGTACTGTGGAGATGAATGCTAAACCTCTAAGACGGCGTGTTTTTATTTCAGGTCAGAAAATCTCACCAGACCTCTCGGCGACAGATCGCCCAGATAGAGCTCTGCCCCAAGCTCCTCTCTGCAATCCTTGTACGTATCTCTTGTGCCCCTTTCGCTGCCCCCGTCCCCATGGTCCAAACTTCGGCGGATCGCTGGGCCGCAGGGCCTCCTTTTCCGCCTCGAGAACCGGAGGCGCCGATGCGCAGAAGCCATCCTGAGACACCTCTCGCGGGGAGAGCTCCTGGCCCGGGTCAAATGCGAATCCGCTCGGTCAGGCTTTGCAGGGTCCTACAAGATCCTGCAAGACCCTGCAGAATCCTGCGTGCTGTAGCTGTAGCCTGGGTCAGTGCACCCCTGGCGCTGCAGGATCTTGCAAGATCTGGCGCTCTAGCTAACCCAGCTTGCATAGACCCCCCTCTCGAGGCTCCCGACTCTTGCCAGCGATGAACAGCAATAGAAGTACCCCTAATCCTTTGGGAAGGGACCCAAGTGAGGAGGGCCAAAAACATCAGGGAATGAGAGGCCTTTCTCTGCACATGTCTCAGACCAAACCTCCCCGACCTCGCCTTCATGGCGTCCTTAGAATTCGGTCGGGCATGTCCCCCTACAGGCGGATTTTTTAGGAAAAGCACAAAATACGGAAAAAAGCTCAAACCTCGTCCCCAGACTATTTTTTCTGTTTCAGAATATTCCCTGCAGAGGGACATGCCCGACTCCACACTCGAGCGAGGCGGAGCCTGGCGGCAGAGAGAGCCAACGAGACGAGGACGACAGAGGAGCGACGGCGGAGCGGCACAGGATGGGCCCACGCCGCGGCCCGGCGCCCGCTGCGCGCGCCTCGCGGCCGACGCGCGGCAAGCCCGCTGCGAAGCACGGTACTGTCGCCGCCGGCTGGCCCCGCGGCAGGGGTCGCCAGGGGGGAAAGCGGGTCCTGAGGGCAACGGGTCCTCGTTCTCTGCGTCGCCGGTTTGGGCTTCCCGAGGGGCCCTCCACGGGCCCCGGGACCGTCAGAGAGCAGCTCAGGAGGAAGAGCTGGTCCCGGGGAAAGCAGCCGAGTCCAGGACCCGTTTCTCTCAGGACGCGTGTCCCCCGTGCTCCGAGGGGCGACCGCGTCCGATCTCTCGAGCATTCTTGCTGTGAAGACCAGGAGGGCCCCACCACTACGATCCCGAGAGGCCTTCACCACGGCCCAGGAGGCTCCCCAGACACCCCGACATGCTCCCAGGAGGCTTGGGAGAAACATCCAAAGGGGTCCAAGGAGGCCCTGGAGACTGCCAGGAAGGCCCCGAGAGGCCCCCGGGGCCAGAAGGGCCTCCAGAAAATTCCGAGGACGGCCTCGGAGGCTCCTGTGACGTTGGTGAATGTTTTGCAGCGTTATGTCCGCTAGAACTCTCGTAGCTATCGACTAATGTTTCATCTCTGAAAAATAGCATTGCGTGCACGCGTCGTATCAGAGTGGGAAATCTGTGAACCGGGAGCGGATTCGCTCGAACTTCGGTGCGCCACGGGCCATCCCAACACACGGGCCGCCCAGCTTGGCGGAGTATGGCAACCAACCAAGCGGCCTCCAGAGGGCGACTCAAATGGCCCTCAAAAGGCGCAACAAAGCTTACCGGGCCCACATTCTGGAAAATCGCTCCAAGGGCGCACAAGGACCTCTGAGACGGCCAAGGAGCCTCCACAGAAGGAAACTACAACGTCCCGAAGACAAGGGTGGGGCCGGAATTCGGATGGTGAGAGAAGGTCACGGGGCGCCCGCATTATCCGAGAACGTCTGCCTGGCGTCCTACGACTCACCCTCGTAACATGCCGTCCATCGAGGCAGCTGCGAACGCCCGTACTTGCAGCAGCCCAAGACCGTTGACTCAGTAACGTCAGCAAACACTTGCGAATCAACACAACATGCCTATCACACAATATGCTGTCGAGAGCAGCGGTTTCTGCGTTATGAATTGAAACATGTGGTCATGACAACGCATTGCGCCCAAAATCACCGGCGCCGCCTTGCAGTGCCAACGCTGCGCGCAAGGAGAGGTCCCGCAGCTCGGCGTAACTCCACCTCATACTGATCTCATCATGTCGTACTTCTTTCTATTCGTGATCAATCACTCGTGTGATCTGCGTGCCCGTGCGATCTCGGCAAGCCATTTGGCACGGAACTGAGCGCATGCAGACCACGGGTGCCACAACACAAACCCCGATCCTCGCCCTTCCCCCCTCTTGCACACATCATCTGTCGCCTCCTGCCGCATGCGGCGCGTGCATATCCGAGGCCAATAATGCAAGCATGTAGGCGTCACCAAGAGTCAGAGGGTGCGGGGACAAGGAGGGAGCGAGGAGAAAGGAAACATTCAGGGAGGACCCAGGAGCTCGGTGAGAAGAGAAGTGAGCAGGGAAGATGGAGGAAAGAGGTGTGCGAACGAGGAAAAAACGAAAAGGGTAGACTTGAGAAGGAAAAGGAGGGGAGGAGGTTAGCACGGAGGGAGAAGGAGCATGAGGAGTGTAGCCCAGAAGACGATGACGACGACGGGGAGGGGCCAGGAGAGAAGAGGGACGGAATGATTTCGGAGGCAGGAACAGGGATGAAACCAAAGGAGGGATGGGGGGAGGAGCAAGGACGTGGACGGAAGACGGAGGGCGACCGAGGTCGAGGGGGAGGGTACCGAACGCGCTTTCCAACGAATCTGGTGCGCACGATGCATCGGCACCTGGGCCCCCTAGCTTGGCCCCGCTCTGGGGAAACCAAGGCACCGATACCGCTACTCCCCAGACCTCTCCCGGGGTGCGTTCTGACCAGAATTTCTAGGTGAATCCAGCGGTGGCCACGAGGGCCTCCGAGGAGGCCCAAAGAAGGGACAACGAGGAAAGGGTAGAGGTATGGGCACTTTTCCTCCCCTGACGCTCCTCCTGCAAGGGCCTGGCGCCCGTCGCTCCGCACTCGATGCCGTGCCGAGGCCCCGAAAACTTGGGCCGACTCGTGGCACCCCCCCGCTCCGTGTGTCCGGCTCCTCTCCGAGAGCCACACGATCGCTGGGCCGCTCCGTTCCCTCTCGCCCACGACCTGCCCGCGACTCACCCGCGAAGCAGAGGGAAGAGGAGGAGGAGGAGGAGGAGGAGGAGGAGGAGGAGGAGGAGGAGGAGGAGGAGGAGGAGGAGGAGGGAGAGGAGGAGGAGGAGGAGGAGGGGGGGGAGGTGGACGAGGAGGAGGAGGAGGAGGAGGAGGAGGGGGAGGAGGGGGAGGAGGAAGGAGGAGGAGGAGGAGGAGGGGGCGCGGGGAAGAAGGTTCGACGGAGGGAAAAAGTCCACCGCGGGCGGTTGAAAAACGCCCCTAAGAAAACAATATCGCGACAGCCTCCCAAACGGTCCCATCCTCACGGCGGGGCGAAGCAGTGCGCGTTCCGTGTCACTTTTGGGCCCCAGGTACATCCGGATCCGACTGGACAGGACACCCGAGAAAACAAAGAACTGTCGGACGGCAACGTCACGCCACGAACAAATCTATGTACAGACGCCCCCTACGAATTTTGCACGTACCATCTGGGAGGGTGGCGGTGTATAACGTCGCTGGCTCCCAATGGCAGGTTATACACCGCCGCCCTCCCCTGAGGTCCAGAAACGATCCATTGGAAGATGTCTGTGTATGTATGTTATTGTGGCGGAAACGTGGCCCCACAACATGCGGGTTGCAGAGGTCGGGATAGACAGGACACACTGGCACCCTCGAGTCGGCAGGGCCGACTGCGGCCTCTTAGAGCGCAACAGGTGCACCTTTCCTCGCCCCCCCCATCTATCACATCCCATCGCGCAACGCCGCCCGGCCCCCCACCCAGGCCGCACACGCCCGCCCGACCAGAAGTTAAAAACCACAGCCATTTGCCATCGCGCCGCTGGGGAAAGGGCGGCGTCCGTGTCAGGTCCGCTATTGTGACGACTGCCGGTCCACATGCGGTGTTCCCGCGGCGTCTCGCCGCGGCCCTTCCTCGCGCCGCCGTCAGGCGGCGGTCCGCTGATGATCGCCACGCAGCCCCAGCAGAACCATCACTACACCCTCGCAGCGTTTCTCGTGTCATGGCTCGAGTGCGCGGCCACGCCACTGACAAACACCCGGTGCCTCAAATGGTCAGTCCCCGCAGGGTGTCTCGCACGATCCTTTCTGATCATGACCTTGAGCGCCTCCCGATCTCGGGGCGCCATCAGAGCATGACGAAGCACAACTGCTACAACTCCAACATCCGTCCGCCAGGCTCAGGAGGTTCAGCGACGGCGTGGCCAGCTGCTGCATGCGATCTTGCTTACCTTCGCACTGCTCGCATCCCATGAAGGATCAGGTTGGCATTCTGCGCTGCCTTCTCCTGGGCAGACATTGATATTCCCTGGTGGCGGCATGGGGCGCGGCCCTGCGAATGCGCCCTCATATCATGGGGCCCGCGGCGTTAACCCAGCCGTAGTACTGTAGCTGCGTTCCCCACCAGGTCCCCGGGGGGAGTAACCCTTCCCCGTGGTCGCCCCCCGCTCGGAGTGGCTCTCGACGCCTCAGACTGCAATGCCCCCGACCATCTCGGATAGCGCGCCCCACCCTGTTCCAGGTGTCGATGCTGTCGCCGTCGCAGGCTGTCTTGAGCTAATTCTTGCGGTGCCAACCAGGCAGAGGGTGGCCAGCGCGTCCGACAAGGCGCGATTCTCCTCGCGATTGTTTACGTTGCCGGGGCCCCGGTCACGGCGCTTTCTTGGCGCCCCCCCTCTGGGGGAGAGGGCCCGACCTGCGGCATGTGGATCTCCAACTCGTCTTCCGCGGCTGCCGCCTCTACGCGCGGCCGGCTCTCCTTGGGGCACGCGGGAAGCTCCACCTTGATGTCGCCGTCGGCTGGCGTTTGTTCCTGGCCAGCTCCGCCCTGACCAACCGCGGCAATCTGAACCCCGCGACAGAGGCGACGACACCTCGCCAGGAGCCCCCCGACCTGTCGAGCTCATGCCCAGCGCGGAATCAATCCGCCGCGGCGACCTGGGCCCGAAGGGGCGCGGGGCCCTCAGCCAGACGGATTGCTAACCTTTCGAGATCGGTATCGATGAAATCTGGTTGCCGTTGGCCTGGGGGCAGCGACTGGGGCCAGACGAGGAGGCGGGAACCCCCCGCTGGACCTTGTTCCTGACCTTCTCGGTCCCCCGTTGATCGGCTGCAGGTGGAGGGCCCTCAGTCTCGCGCGGCGGCAGCGTCGCCCAGCTCCCTGGCGGGGCCCTCTACCATGCAGCGCTGCGCGTTGTCAGCAGCATGTTTATCATATTTGCCGTGCCTTGAGGATGGAAGCATTCACCTTTGAATGATAGCCGATCACCTAAAATCCGGGACACCCATGCTCGACCTCGGTCGCACCGCTCTTTCCGAAGCGCCCCATAGGCCTGCACCTCCAGGGCGGTGATTGCAGTCTCTCGGCAGCGCGGACGAGCGCCTCCCCATCCATGCTGTCCTCCATGGTTAATTGCGGCATCCACGCGCAGCAAATGCGCGTCGGGGCCCTGCTCGCGCGCTTTCCTTAGCGCTCTCGTGCCGCATGTTCGTAATTGTTTGCCGACCACGTGGGGTATGCCAATCTGCCTCTGTATTTGTGAACTTCCATCTTGTACGTGACCCGACTGGTAAACTGGCATCGTGCCCTGACGAGCCAAAAATCGCCGCCTTCCGTGCCCGCCGTCATGCCTTCCGTGTCCGCCGTCATGGTGACTCCTTGAACTGATCGTTTCGGCAATGGCAATGGAGACGTTGCTGTTCGTGCCAAGGGCCACCATAGTACCTGTCATTCGAATGGTGTTTCCCTGGGTGGTCAGGCACGGGGGTGGCGTCGTCGACGGCATCATTGAAAACTGTGACAAAGCTTGCTGCTTGCTGTGACAAGGCTAAGGCAGTCAAGCCATACCGCTCCCCCTCTGCATGAGCTGGTAGCTTTCGTTAAGGTGAGTCAACCCCGACGCAGACGAGCGCCCTCGCCAGGTTACCACTGCGCCCAAATTCCGCCAGAGAAGTATGTCCTGCTAGGAGACGATCGACACAACAGGTACACAGCATCGGCAGCCTCGCAACCACGTGCTGCATCATACCCGCGATTAGCATACGAGGCGGGAGCTTGCTACGTCTGGCGGTCGGGGCCGCATGACCGAACTTCACGCACTCGTGGACGCCGTCGGCACATCAAACCGCACGCGGTGCTTGTGCGGCGGGCATCCGCGGTCTAGTCGCCAAGCGCCTTCGGCGTGTCCCCGCGTGCGTAAGCAACTTTGCTCAACCACCGCCGCGTCAGAAGGCTGCTGCATATCGCGTATGCGTTGTCTGACCCACTCGTTGGGGAGCACCTCGCAAAGCCTGCAGAACCAACTCAGGGGTGCAAGCGCTGTGCCCCTTTCCGCGATGAACGGGCTCGGGCCAGGTTGCGTCTCTCCTCTAGGTCGCAGCAGAAACATGGCCTCCAGATTTTGCCACGGTCACGCGATCGCATGCTGCTGTTCGTTGAAAGAGCGAACGGTCACTGCTAGGGACAAGCGCCCGGGCCTACCTGACACCCAGGTGTGTGAGGCCGTGGCCATAGGGATCTAGCACGTACGCACGCACGGACAGCATGCATGAACACATCGATGCTTTGACTGAATGCCCGCTGACGCTTCGGCAAGGCGAACCTGCCGAGAAACGGCTCACATGACCTGGCCAAAGAGCATGAGGACATGTTCGACAATTGTTGCCCCATTGTTTACTGATTTTTGGGGGCTGTTGCGCACTTCAACCATTCAGTCGTGGACTCTGTCGAACTGGCAATATTTGGGGCCATCGGTCTCTCCTGTGTCCTCCTCCGTGCCGTTCTTCTCTTCCACGTCGTCGCCCCCCCTCTCGTCGGAAGCACCCTCCTCGCCGCACTGCTTGTCGAAATCAGTATATACCTGGTCGGAACCCATCTCGTCCATTTTCCGTCTTATCTGTACTGTCGTAATTTTTCTGTCTTGGGGTTTCCAGTGCTCGCCCTGTCGCCGGGCACGTCGGGCATCCCTTTCTCTGAACACGCATCTTTATCCGTATCACTCGTGGACAATATGGGGATTGCCTCATCGATCCGCACCATGTGATCCTCAGTAATCAACGTCTCGGAAAAAATCATGTTCATGCCGCTCGCTTCGGTCATACGTCCAGATTGGTCGAAGGACGCCCGAAACAGCATCATTTCCAATTGTTGTGACTCGCCAGCCCGCCCTTCGAGTTCTGCCGAAGCTTGATTCATTTCGCGGCCTGCCTGGTGGGTATTCGGACCAACTTTCAACCTGCATGGGCATGGTGTGATCAAGCGTGCTCTGGATCTTGCGTTCGATGGACATCGCGCGTTCGACTCGCACTTTCAAGGTATCCATGATGGTCCTCAGCCGCTCATCCACTGAAGCCTCTTTGAGCCTTCTTCGGGATGTGAGCGTTTTGTTACTCGGCGCTTCGACAGTGGGCGGAGGGGGGGGCGGGGGGTCTGCTCAGTGCGACTGTTTGGGACCGTGCGTCCTATGGGGGAGGCTCCACCTGCTCGAAACATGCGCCGATGGCCCGCGCCGATCGGCAGAACGAGGAACAAAACAACGATCACGATCTCGTTGTCGTCTCAATCGCCGCGTCATCTGCTCCAGTCCGGGGATTGCCGCGGGTCGCCATTGCCGCCGCGGGTCTGCCCCAGTCTCCTCCTCCTCCTCCCCCTCCTCCTCCCCCTCCTCCCTGAGGCTGCGCATTGCGCCTTGAGCAATATTGAGCCATGTGAGCCGTCGGGCGGCGGTCTCCTCATGTCTGACATGTTCGTTCTGTGGACGCCTCGTCATGTGCATGCGTCTGGTGGCCCGTGGGCGGGATGAGGCGGGGAAGGATACGGAGCAGGAGAAAGAACAGGCTACGAAGTCTTAGAAGTAGGGGGAGAACCGAGGAGAAAGCCTGCGGACGAGGATGAGGCCAGGAGGAGGGTTGACAAGGATGGCTGGGAAAGAGTGCTGTGAAAAAGACTGAGCAGGGGTAAGCGCAGCAGCGCATGTGTACCTGGTCAGCAGGACCTGGACGCGCGAAACTGGGTGTACCAATGGCTGTGCCCGTGCCTACTGCGCTCCACACAGGCATGACTATCAAGGAGATGGGCAGGAGGATGGAGCAGGGAAACAAGGAAGACAAAGGGCGGGACCACGGCAAGCTCGTGCCGCAACGTCGGCGTGGGTTTCCGACGCTTGCTCAGACTCGGGAGAGCGCGGCCTTCCGATCGCGCATGCCGCTCGATAGCAACCGACGACGGGCCACCTGCGGCGTTCAGCCTTGAACGCCCGCGCCGGGGTCGCCGCTGCGCCGACACGACACAGACCTGTCGCAGCCAGGGGGGAGAGGGGAGGATGGAGGGAAGAAGGGTAGGAGGATGGAGGAAGGGCAGGAGGATGGAGGAAGAGAGGAGGAAGAGAGGAGGATGGAGGGAAGAGAGGAGGATGGAGGGAGGAGGGGAGGGCAAGACTGACGTTCGACACTGGAGGAGTAGCAACAAACAAGAGGCGCACGTGCCGTGCTGGTCCTCGCTGGCCGGGGCGTCGGGTCGCAAGGCCTCGCGAGGCGGGAGGCACAAAGCATCACACGGTCCTCTTCCGCCCCGCCTCCTCGTCCAACTTCTCCAGAGGCCGCCTCCTGCTCCCCTGGAGGCCCCAGGAGCCAGGAGGCCTCTCGAGAAGGCTCTCGGGGCTCCTCCGCAGAATAAAACCTGCAAGCAATCCGCCGGCCCAGCGGGCCATTGGCATGGTAGCATATGTGGTAAGAGGTGACGAATTCCGATATATTGCCAACTCGAGCGCTCGGGGCGGCCACTGGGGGTTCCCAGAAGAAAAATTCCCCGGGCAAGACCCGAACAGAAATGACGGAACTCCTGGGCGCACACTTCAGAACCCCAATATAACTCCAGGAGCGCTCCAAGGGAGCTCCACCGGGATCCACATGAGGTCTCGAAACGTAGTAACGCTCCGAAGGAATCCAAAATGGCCCACCAGAAGAGCGCCAAGACGGTCCAAGATGACCTCAAGAGGACCCAAACAGGACCCATTAAAGGGCAACAATAATCAAAAACACATTACTTCCCCTTGAGCTGTTCAAGGCTTGCAATATTCCTGCAGATGCAGGCTTTCGACAGCTTCAGACGCCCCAAGGGGGGGGGGGGGGGGCAATATTGCCCGAAGACGGCCCAAGATGCCTCCAAGAGGGCCCCAAGACTGCTCACGAGAGCCCCAAGACGTTCCAGAACTCCAAGGCGGTCCACGAAGTCTTCAAACGGCCATAGAGTGCTGCAAGACCGGCCCGCGCGAGGTTCGCGCGAGCGATGCTTCAGCAGCGGTGTGTTATCATCGTGCGTTGCCCCTTCAGATTCAACAAATGGCATGACAATTGAACAATATCCTTGCTGTCAGGAAGATGATCATCATCTGTACACGACGCACCTTTTGAACTTCGATACTAGTCCCAGACTAGGTCTAGCTACGTCGTGGTCTAGTGAGACTACACTCTCCTAATGCAGGCCAGGCAAACTGTCCTAGGCAAACGTACCTGGCCCGAACGTTCTAACATTGGTGGTCTCAGGTTAGTGGCACTGCTTCCATGGGGAATCAACACGCCCAAAGGAGCTTCGCTCACGCCGCTGATGAGAGCGGACGACACGACCGCTGGACCTAGTTCCGACTGCCTGCACAAGAAACATGCTCGTGAACATGCGCGACCAAGTCAACACGGCAGCGGAGTCGGGACAATATCACATGCAACGGGAATGTGAAATCAGAAGGCGCCAAACTCTGTCAACTTATGCACGCTCAAACGTGTTTGCATACGATGCAATCGGAACTTGCATGTTGCTCGGATGCGGTCCACTTATGATAATCGTTATTGCTTGCGCAGTGGATGATACAGAAATTACATAGTATAGAATCTTTGCGTGGCCACATAATCGTCTGCCGCAATTGGTGCACGCACCTGAATCCTGTGATGGAGGCTCCGTCGCCGACATGTGCGCGAAGAACATTCATACATTCCGTATCCAAGTCAAAGCGTTCGTTTGCGTCCAAGTCAAAGTAAGGATGCGTCCATTTCATATCGTGTTCGTTTGCGTCCAAGTCAAAGCGCTTGTTTGCGTACATTTCATATCAGTGTTCGTCTGCGTCCGAGTCAAAGCAAGGATCTGCGACACTGAGGTCAACACTTTGGCACGCGAACGTCTAACGCGTTGCTCTACTTATATGCCGACTGTTAGAATGGTGGTCTATCCAATAATGTTGGTCGGCGTAAGGCTTTCTGCGAGTGTCCTTGGGGCTGGACCATTGTGGTGCCGATGCTGTTGCACCCATTCGTCGACTGGGCGTTGCCATCTTCCAATTTCACAACAAAACCACCTGCGGGCCCTGACCGTGGTCACGGGTGAAAGCGGATGATGAGATGGAGGATGATGGTAGAGCGCGGGATGAATGCATACGCGCATACTCGATCCAAACTCGTGCATTCCGCCAATCGATGCTGTTTCGATAAAGCCAATGTGTATTGATTCTCCTGGGGCAAATCGAAATACAAACGCAATGCGCCCCCAGAGCCGCGACTGCCTGAATTCGGCACACCCGTCACGCACGTCCTGCGCCACTAGGCTTCTGAGACACGTAAACACAACAAAAACTCCCAGCTCCATTTTCCCAGGAGCCTCAACTCGGCACACCTCTCACGTATTTCGTGCATCATGGGTGCTAAGCTGGACCCAAAAGAGGCTCTTTGAGGTCTCAATTCGGCAACACCCCTTACGAGTTTCGTGCCCCGTGGACCCCCAGGGGCGATCCTCTGGCCCTCAAGACAGCTGAAGTCGGCGCTCCCTTCACGCACCCTCAGCTGACCCCTCAGACGGTTGAAAGGAGCTTCGATTCGGCACACCCCTCGCGCACCTCGTGGCTCCCTCATAGGCTGTCTCTAAGGCCGCCTGCCCCCCAACGAACGACAAGATGGCCCTGAGAAGAATTGCAACGAAAGATACATCCCCTCGTCGAACCCACACCCGAACACGCACTGCTTGCGAAATCTGAAAGCGACTTTCCCTGTATGGGGCCGCCGTGACTCCCGCTCCACGGGCTCAACTCGCCGGGCCCCCTACAGATCCTCGACGTTTGAACTTTCGAACGCAATGACTGCATGATTCACAAACAACTAACATATCTATATCCGCGCATCCGCGGTCTTGATTCCGGGGCGCGATCCCGCGGATACGCGGTCGCACGGATACGTTCCGCGCGGAAAATCCGCGAAACACCCCGTATCCGCGGAATCGCGGCCAAAAGGCCGAGCTCGCAAGAACGCGGATACGGAATTGGTTTCCGCCCAAGGACGATGAAATGGAGAATGAACTGGAGCAGAGTTGCAATGTCGAAATTGAGGACGACATGGATGATGCCATTACGACGTGGGAAATTGAAATGGAACGAGCATGCATGCTAAGAGCGGATTCGCACACTCCGTCGGCTTCCGCGAGGCATCGAAAGGGCATCTGCAGGCCATCCGCGCGGCGATTCCTCCCTGCACACATGGAATGCCACGTGTTCCGCGCTCCAATGGCCGCGACGGCCCGAATTCGGCACGCCCCTCACGCACGGCCTGCGCCCCCAGGCCTCTGAGACACGTCAAACACAAGGGATTCGCAGCTCCCTTCTCGCAGAAGCCTCACTGCTGCATTGACCACGCAGCGCATCCCTCGCGCACTTCGGGAATCATGGGTGCTCAGCTAGCCCATGAAGATGGCACACCCCTTACAAATGTAGTGCTCCGTGGACCTCCAGTGGCAATATGCTGGCCCTCGCAAAAGGCTGAAGGGAGCTTGAACTCGGCGCACCCTTCACGCACGTCGAGCCCCATGGAGTTTCAAGGGGCCCTCAGCTGATCCCGAGAACGGTTCAAGGGAGCTTCGATTTGGCACACCCCTTACACACCTCGTGGCTTCGTGGCTTGGCTCATTGACCCCCGCAGGCCGTCTGTGGACGGACGCCTCAAATCGCCTCTCCCACCAAGGGACGCCAAGATGGCCCTAAGAAAAAAGCAACGTATGGCCTTGAGAACTTACCACGAGTAGAACCAACCCTCGTCGAAACCGTACCCCGAACGCACACTGATCGCGAAATCTGCGTGCGAATTCTTTCTTGGGGCCTACCGTGACTCTTGTTCTGGGGGCTAAGGTCGGGTAGATGATGCAGTGTTGATGAAATGGAAGATGGTGATACGCATGCATACTAAAAGCGGTTTTTTTTGCCCATTCCGCAAGGCATTCACCAATCCATTTCCCTGGGACGCGTAAGAATACGACAATCTGCGCTCACACACGCATCTCCTGCGCCCCCAGGCAAATAAAACACCAAGGATTCGCATCTAAAATCATTTGGAGCCTCAATGCAACACACCCCTCACGCACCTTGAGCATCATGGGTGATCAGCCGGACACAAAATACGCCCCTTCAGGCCTCACATCGGCACACACCTTACGCATTTCGTGCCCCATGGACCTCCAGGGGCGGTCTGCTGGCCCTTGAAGGCGGAAGGGAGCCTGAAATCGGCCCACTCCTCACGCACTTCGTGCCTCATAAGGTTCCAACGGATCCTCAACTGACCCCGAAGACGGTTCAAGGGAGCTTCGAGTCGGCACAACACTAAAGCACTTCGTGGCCCGTGTGCCCCCACAAGCCAACTGCTGGCTCCTACGACGGCCTGCACCCCACCCCGAAGGGACGTCAAAATTGCCTTGAGAAAATTGCAACGAAAGGTACCGCCCCTCGTTGAAACCATGCCCCGATCACCCACGGATTGCAGAATCAGAGTGCGACTTTCCTTCCAGGGGCCCGCCGTGACTCCCGCTCTGCGGGCTCAATTCGGCGGGCCTCCTGCCACTCGCCGTGCTGAACTCCCAAAGGTCGGTGAGGATGGAATGGAGGCAGATTCACCCAGAACAATCCACGACCGTGGACAAGCCACGACATGGGCAAGGGCACTTGATACGGAAGCGAACGATCGTGGGAAGAACTTGATTCTGGTTGCAACCGATGGGCTGCAAACCACGGGCGCCCACCGGCGGGCACCAGCCGAAAACCCAGCATGCCCAGCCAGCGCGCCAGGCGGCAACGGGGCGCCGCTGCCGAAAGCCCGGATAACGGCAATCTCAGGAGTAATGGAAATCCCGAAGGGAAAGATCTGTCGGTAAACGAAAACGTAACAAGATCCTCGAAGTTCGATGCTCCAACCTCCTCCCACCCAACACCTTAGGATAAGACGAAGCCGGGACGATAAGACGAAACCAGGATGAGGCGTTCGAAATGAGTCGTATCGGCGGAGATCGACAGCCAAGTCGGGAGAAGTCGAATCGGCGGGAACTGGCAGGCTACTAAGTCAGGCCTCCGTTGAGAAATCGGAGTCCAGATCGGAATCCAAAATCGAATCAAATCGGAATCGGAAGCCATCGAAATCGAATCGAATCACATCGGAGGAGTCGACATGAGCCCGGATTGCCCTCCTCCTCCTGCGAGGCGCGGCAGGCGAGTCAAAAACAAGACTCGCCGCCCCTGCACCGAACTGGGGTGTCCAGCCAGTGCCGGCCAACGCCTCGCCAGCAGGTCTCGGCATGCGCTTTGCCTACCTCAAACTCCTCCTTCTCCTCCTCATCCTGCTCAACCTCATCCTGCTCACGCTTTCCACCGCGACGACTTCTTGCCGGCAGCTACTTGCTGACCAAGTCGAGGGAAGGGATTCGAAGTTCCTCTCTCTCTTAGTCTGAGCTCTCGGCGTTGTCGTGAGCAAAGGCGGATGCGAAGGGCTCACGGTGAGAAGGGACAAGAGGAGGACTTCTGTTACTGCAGCAAGGACGGGGGCGATAGGAGGGAGGGAGGGAGGGAGGAAAAGGGAGGGGGGAACAGAGTGACGGGTGAGGACTTCTCCCGTCTCACTCTTCCCTCCTCCTGGTTCCGCCTCCCTTCTCCGTGTTCTTTCACTCCTTCTCCTCCTCCTTCTGCATCATCCCTCCTCCCATCTCACTCCTCCCTCCATCCGAAGCTCACCTTCCTCCTACCAGGGAAAGTATGCAGCCGGACGGTCGGTTCAAGGAACTACGCACTCGGCACCCCGCAGCTTGAGGGGAGGCATCGAAGCGAACCAACACAGGGTCACATGCAACACGGCACTCGACATTGGAGATCGAGGCGCACGCTTCGACAGCCAGACGTAGGAATCATGGCTGCCCCTCATTCTTGTCAGATTCCGCCTCCTCGTCGTCCTCGTCCTCGCCGCCCGCAGCCTTGTCCTCCTCTTGCTCGCCATCGCCCACCTCCTTCGACCCCCGCCTCCTGCCAAGTTCCCCCCCCTCCTAGGTGGCGCTTGCCCCTCCAGGGAGGGCGTACTGCAAGCTCGTCGAGCTTCACGTGCAATCCAACCTGCCCCGCCCCGACATCGCCACGTATATCAGAACACGTCAGCATACCATCCTAGAGCGCTATACAGGGGAAGGGCAAGAGGTTGAGGGTGATCTACCAGCCCATGTCACTACGTATGCATGTTGACCTCACTATTCCGATGAATCAGCACTAGCGATGATCACATCGAAGCGCCACGACACTAGCATGACCTGGCGGAGACAGGAGGGCAGAGCAACAGCATCAACCTGGGACGGGGCCTGAACATTTGGGGTGAGGTACAGGACGCTAATGAAGCACATGGTATTGCAAACGGAGGCTGGGGTACTGACAAGATGGGGCTGGGCGTCGCCAGTGTGCGGCCCCCTCTGACCGCTGGGCGGCGCCGCGGCGAGGCCGACGCTGTGCCGGGATCCATGCCGCCGCGCCCTGCGGGTTCGCCGTCGCCGTCGTCGCTGTTAGCTTCGGCGTCGTCACCGGCGCAAAACATCAGATTCATCCCGTCCTCAGAAAAGGCTGTGCAAGAATTGCAGAATGACCCACAACGTGGGTGCCCCGGGGACGCGTTCACCCTGCTACCCCGGCACAAAGCCCAGCCCCCAGGTCCGACCCGCACTAGGGAGATCCGCCACAGGGTCCTTGACTCACGAGTTCAAATGTCCGTTCCTGGACCCCCTGCAACCTCACTGCTTCAATCCTGTGGCATGTTTCAAGGGTCGGACCTGAAATTGCCAAAGCTTCTGGGACGTTCCGCGACTTCCCTGGGTCGCGTCGCGCCTCGTCGCGTGACTTTTTCAAGCATCCGACGTTTGAAGAGGGCCCGGAAAGCTCCAAAGACTGCCCCAAGACAGCCCAAGTGCCCCAAAATGACCCACGAGGGCTCCAAGACGGCTCGCGAGGCGGCGCCCAGGACGGCCCAAGAGGGCTCAAAGACAGCTCCAATAGGGGCCCCGGAAGGGGGAACGCGAACCGAAAATCCGAGCCTTCCGCCCTGAGAGGCCCTCAAGAGGTCCCCAAGAGGCGCCCGAAGATGCCCGCAAGAGGCCCCACCAAAGGCGCCAAAACAACCCCCATGGGCCTCAAAACTGCCTCCAGGATACCCCCGAGAGGCCTCCTCGAGATGGGACTAATAAGAGAGGCCGTCGCTCGCCGCCCACATGTAGCCAATCACAACGCAAGCGCGCCCGCGGGCACTCGGCGTGCTCGTCAACAATTTATCGCCGCACCTTCGCACCCGGAGGTGACGACGCGCCGCAGCGCGCCGCCCCAAACCGCCCGCCTGCCCCTGCAACTCAGGGGCCCCGGTGCCTCACTCGGTTCCACGCGGGGCGCGCGGAGCGAACGGGGACGAGAGCCCAGAACCACCCCGAGCCCAATGGGCCAGGCGGTGCGCGCACATGAACATAGCCCGACAATATTGTCGGTCGAGGTGACCCGAGCGCCTATCCCCTTGAACCACCCGCAACCAAGAGCGGACGAAAGAGGCACAAGGAAAGCGGGGAAAAGGAAATAACGGAGAGGAGGGGGAGGGGGGGCGAGAGGAGGGCGGGAGAGGAGGGGGAGGAGGGAGACATAGAACGTAGGAAGGAGAAAGGAAAGCCTCCGGTTCGAGTCTACGTTTGGTCTGGTTCGGAGGGGGAGGACGAGGGCGGAACGAGAAAGATGGAAGAGGAAGGAGGGGAAGGACCAGGATCAAGATCAGAGCTCCAAGGGACCTCTTGTCTCGGTCAACTACGGGATAGAAACCAGGATGGGAACGCATCGCCCAAAACGGGGCCCAGCAGGCGCGAGATGGGGGGGAGAAAACGACGGACAGACGGCGGCGACCAACGACGGCGACACGAGGGCCCAAGGACCCGAGAGGGGGGGGGGGCTAAAACACCTGTTCGAATTCCTAATTCCTTCCTACCTAGTGTCGAAATCTGGCAGCTCTGAAACATGATTTGATACTTGGGGTGCCCTTTTCGGATCCCCCTCTTCGCTAGATGCGTTTTTACCCGCACTGAATCGGGGGCCTCACTCTTCCGAGCTTCCCAGAACTCAGCCGTCGAAGGGGGAGGCCCGCGCCTAGGGGTGCGTGTTCGGGGGCGCCGTGCCATCGATCCTCTAGGTCTCGTAGCGGCACTGGGGCCTGTCGATCCGCTAGGTCTCGTGGCAGCTCTGGGGCCCGTGGGCGATCCACTGGAACTCGTGCCAGCTCTGGGGCCATGGGAGCTGTCGGTCCGCTGGGTCTCGTAGCAGCCCTAGACCCAGAAATCCAAGTCAGAATCGGGGGTCTCGATGTGTGTCCGCCGTGTTCCCATGTGTTTTGTGTGATATGCCGCGCTCCTGTTTGTTCTGCCATGCTCCTGTGTGTCCTGCCGTGCTCCTATGTACTCCGTGTGTTCGGCCGTGCTCCTCGTGAACCTGCGTGTTCCGCAATGCTCCTGTGTGTGTTTGCCGTACTCCTGCGTGTTCTGCCGTCAGTTTTGCCGTGCACCTATTTGTTCTGCCGTGCTCCTATGTGTATTGCCGTGTTCCTGTGTGTACACCCACGTCCCTGCTTGTTCCGCCATGCTCTTATGTGTTTTTGTGTGTTCTGCCGTGTTCCTGCTTGATCAGCCGGGATCTGCCGTGCTCCTCCTGTTCCTGTGTCCTGCCGTGCTCCTGTGTGTTCTGCCGCGTTCCTGCTTGTTTTGCCGTGTTCCTGTATGTTATGTGTTTTGTGTGCATTGCCGTGCGCCTGCCTGTTCTGCCGTGCTCCTGTGTGTTCTGCCGTGCTCCTATGTATTGCGTGAGTTCTGCCATGCCCCGCGTGCTCCTATGCGTTCTGCCGTGCTTCTGCGTGTTTTGCTGTGCTCCTGTTTGTTCTGCCATGTTCCCGTAGGTGTTTTGTGTTTTGCCGTGTTCCGGTGTGTTCTGCCGCCCCAAGATGGCCCCAAGACGGCCTTACAGGCTGCCAGATCGCCTCAAGGGGCCCCCCAAGAGGGCCCCAACATGTCAAAATCATTGATTTTCATTTGTTATTTTTCCCGGGTTTGTGAAGTTCTCGCCCGTGCGGATTTCCGTCGTTCCAAGACCGCCCAAAAGGGCCCGAAGACAGCTCCATGACGGCCCAGAGAGGCCCCCAAGACGCTCCAAGAGTGCCACCATACGGGCCAAGAGCTGCCCAAGAGGCGCCCAAGACAGGCCCAAGAGAGGGACCAGGAACTCAACATCTAGCCTTCCGCCCCAAAACGACCCAAAGAGGCCCCCAATACGCGTCAAAAACGCAGCAAAAGGCTCCCACGAGGCCCACAAGAAGCACGAGGAGGCCCCAAAACGGTCCCGATGACGCCTGAAAACATCATCCCAGAGGCCCCCGAGTCCAACCACGCGATCCCAACCGACGTGCGTGAGGTTTCTGACCCAGCATCGAGGCAGGGTGGCAGAGTAGGCCGAAGGCCACTAGATAGCAGACATGAGGGATACTCGTTCTCGCAAGAATCGAGGGGTCAGCGGATGCGGGGCAAGCCTGCAGGATCCACGTCCGGAGGTGACGTGCTGAGCGGCAGCGTTTTCCGCGGAGGCGATAGTGCAACGTACCCAATGTATCCAATTGTTGCATAATTGCCACATATTGTCGTGCATTGCGTGATTATGTCTCCCCCTACCCCCCCCCCAGGGGCTACGCCACATCCGTGGACCCAAGATGGAGACCCCCCCTTGGGGCTCAAAAGCGTACCAAAACCTATATAAAATCGATGATTCGGGACTTTGGGCCCTCTGGGAGGCCCAATGGGGCCTCAAGACGGCTCCATATGGCTTCAAGACGGGCGAAGACGGCTCCAAGACGGCCCATGATGGCCCCAAAGGGCCCAAGAAACTCCGAATACGTCCCAAGACGGGCGACGACGGCTCCAAGACGGCCCATGATGGCCCCAAAAGGGCCCAAGAAACTCCTAAGTCGTCCCAGGAGGGCCACCAGACGACCCCCAAGAGTGCCTCCAGAAGCCAAAAGCATTAATGTTCTATAGTTTTTGTGTGATTTCAGCGTTCTCGCCTTTCTCGACTCTCAGAAGCCCATGGCCGCACAGGCAGCCACCAAAACTGTCTCCAAAAAAATGCAAGAAGCCCCCCCAAAGGGCCCCCAAACGGCCCAGGAGGGCCCCAAGACGGCGCAAAGAGGCCCCCAAGGCGGTCCAAATAACCTTGAGACAGCGCTAGGAGGCCCCCAAAATAACCCCAAGGCGGCCGCGAGAGGCCCCCAAGACGGCCTCCGAAGGGGCGGAACGGCGCAAAAGCGCCCCAAGACGGCCCAAGACGCCCCCAAGAGGCCACGAGAGGCCCCAAGAGGCCCCCAAGGGGCTCCAAAAAAAAACCAAAGAGGCCCCCAACAAGTCCCCAAGAAGCCTCCCAGAGGCTTCCAAGAAACCCCCACAAGACCACACAACGACTGGAGTGTAATGTTATTTTTCTCCCCCTGGGCGAACTGCGGCGCAGCGCAAGCCAGGTGGAAATTCGTCACGGCGGCGCCCATGATTAGAGCCGGCGCCGGAAGGGAAGATGGGGACAGAGTATGAAAAGGAGGGGGGAGAGGGGAGAGGCCCCAAAGAAGTCCACTAGAGGCCCAAAGAAGCCCCCCAAAGGCCTCCAGGATGCCCCCGGGAGGCTCCCAAGAGGCCCCGCGACGACGTGACTGTACGTGCTCCGGATGTGCACCCCGCGAAGCGAGAGGAATCTACGTCCAGAGGCGACGTGCTGAGCGGCAGCGTTTTCTAGCGAACGCCTTAATGCAACGTACTCGACGTATCAAAAAAAAATCATAATTGCAACATATCGTATTGTGTTACATTATTATGTCTCCCCCTAACCCCCCCCAGGGGCTACGCCACATCCGTCGACCCAAAAGGCCAGCCCCATTTGGGGCTCAAAAACCTACCAAAACCTATGTAAAATCGATGATTGGGGACTTTGGGCCCTCTGGGAGGCCCAATAACGCCTCAAGACGGCTCCATATGGCTTTAAGACGGGAAAAGACGGCTCCAAGACGGCCCATGATGGCCCCAGGAGGGCCCAAGAAACTCCCCCCAGACGACCCCCAAGAGTGCCCCCAGAAGCCAAAATCATGTATGATTTTCAGTTTTTGCGAAATTGCCTCAAAAAAGGCCCAAGAAGCACCCAAAAGGACCCCCAAACGGCCTATGAGGGCCCCAAGACGGCCCAAAGAGGCCCCCAAAACTGCTCAAAAAAAGCAAGGGACGGCCCAACAGGACCCCAAAAGAACCCCAAGGCGGCCGCGAGAGGCCCCCATGACGGTTTCCGAAGGGGCGGAACGGCGCAAAAGCGCCCCAAGACGGCCCAAGACGCCCCCAAGAGGCCACGAGAGGCCCCCAAGAGGCCCCCAAGGGGCTCCCAAAAAAAAACCAAGAGGCCTCCAAGAAGTCCCCAAGAAGCCTC